TTTCGACTTACATAAGCCATTATCAAAGATGACAATTACTGTACAATATATTAAGCAATACATGGACAAGAATGTGATCATAGGCTGTTTCGGTTTACATGGGTGATTTCCAAGCAACTATAAACACGTGCATATAAGACGCTAGAAGCGAAAATCGCACCACAGCTCATGACGTCACACATGACCACGCGAGAGTGAATTCGAGAAGTATTAAGTATAGGAAGCCGTTGGTATAAACCAATGGCTTCTCTTACCAATTATAGACATTTAAGGATATTTGTGGAGATTACATAGTTGATTTTGTTTAGGTTAGGTTTCAAGACTTATAAATATGTAAAGAAGTCTATATTATTTAATGAAACATGTATGAATGAAAAAATGCTGCCTAAATACACAATATATATATATATATATATATATATATATATATATATATATATATATATTACTCATCAAACGTTATTTTGTGATTATTCATGTTTGAGTAGACGCTTTGTTTTTAAATAGTTAAACTACATCCACCGGCCTGAGCCTTCCATAGACTTAATAAACCAAATGTGATCCCTGGTCGTGCAATCTAGAGTATACGGAATCAGACGTTGGTTTATTCTATAAAGTAAGACGCATGTTCAAACCCTGCCGGAGTTTGTTGTATGGTCAGGCCGGTAGGCGTAAAAAGTTAAATAAAAAAAATAATAGACGTCAAAAAGTAAACTAAAAAACAAGGTGTCTACTCAAACACGGGTATCAACAAAATAGCATTTGGAATTGTAGGAAATAATGTCAGATAAAGTTCATTGATTCCTTTATATATATATATATATATATATATATATATATATATATATATATATATATATATATATATATATATACAAATGTAATGATAACAAAAAGAATATAAATTCAAACGTTCAAAACGTTAATTTAAAATAGGGTTCAAACCCAAGAATAGTTATTTATTATAAGTTGTTACATACGGACAAACAAGTAAGCAAAGATGCATATTTGTTTCGGTGCCTAAAGGTAAGCATCTCATCAGGTGAGGAACAAATATGGCTACCACCTGATGAAATGCTTACCTTTAGACACCGAATCAAATATGTATCTTTGTAGTGATTACTTGTTTGTCCGCATGGAACCTACTTATAATATATATATATATATATATAAACAGATCCAAGAGCACATAGAGGTCACTAAAACATTAAAAGATTAAATGCCGATAACTACTCGCTGGACAAACCTTAATTGTTTTATGACCCTTCACGCAGAACTCTTCATTGACAATTCTAGAAAGAAAATTCGGATTGCCAACACACAAACAGAATGTCTCATATCGAGAATATTCCACATTGAACATGAAGAAAAAATTAATTATTTTTTTAATAATATGTAAAAATCTCCACTTTCACCTGAAGACGGTTTGCGAGACCAGACCAGAAACACGTGTCGTGAAATTATGTAAAACAAGTATAATATTTTTTTTCTCAATAAATCCACATTACAACCAAAAACGTTTGCAGCACCCCTCTTCTTTTTAATATATATATATATATATATATATATAGAGAGAGAGAGAGAGAGAGATAGATAGATAGATAGATAGATGTTGAAGTGACTAAAATAGTTAGATGGGGGTAGACAGATATTGAATAGATTAAGATAGATAGATAGATAGATAGATAGATAGATAGATAGATAGATAGAAAGAACATATTAAGATAGATAGATAGATAGATAGATAGATAGATAGATAGATATTTAAAACAATTTTTAAAATGTTTTACTCTGAAACGTTTCGCCGATTAGCCAGCAACTACAAAAAAGAATGTTATTTATAAATGAATAAATGTGTAAATAAAAACATTTTTTTAACATTGGTCAATGTAAAAATGTTCAAAATTGTTTTGTATGTTTATCATTCCAACTGCTCACATTCTCATCCAATTTAACCTGCATATATGTATATATATATAAGTATATATGTCTGCTCTATGCGGAGAAAGTCGTTTTTCATCCAAATATATCGGATAGGCCGATAATGGTGATTTCACTCCCTTTTTATTACCGGCTTCCTTTTCGGGTATACCCGTATCGATGTATTGTTTATTGATCACAATATGTCCGTTTTTTCAGGTTTATCCCTTATTGATTGGATGTACATCCATCGATTTCTCTTGTTCTGATTTTCTCCCGTTTCTTGCGTTGTATTTAATACTGATCAATCGATTGATTGACCTATTTGAACTTATTTTTTTTATTACAAATTAAAACGCGGGAATTCTACTTTTACTTTCACTTTATTTGTTATTTCATGCATTATTCATTGAATTGTATCATTTACATAGATATGTACTCGATATTGATTCTGATTGAAAGTCTTTGTTATCGATTACGATATTCTTTATTTATGTTTTATGTGAAGCCCTTTCCTTAAAAAAAAAGAAAATATGCGTAGAACTTTTTCTCAGAATGCTGCTATTTTATTCTTTCTCCTTCACGTGATTCAAATTTCGTAAAAATATGACGCTTTCTCCGCAATTATATGATCGGAAACTTCTATGGAAAGTTTTTAAAAAGCCCATACTTTATATTCACAATGTATGTTTTACGAGGAACATTTTTTTAATCCTTTGGCCCTCAAGCAAGGCAATAAAGCCACTAAGATGCAAGGGGTTACCGAGAGTTGAGATTATGGATAAAAACACTATTAAGGAGAGACAACAATAAAAGAAGACGCATTAGGAAGACAGATGATGATTGACATTGCATTGAAAGAAAATTTTTGAAGAACAGGAGAAAACTTTTGAAGAAAAAAGTTCATTGGGAAACAAGAAGTCAGAAGAGAAACTTAGCCTATAATATTTCAGCTCTAAAACAATGAGACCTAGCCGCCAATCTAGCACTGCTCTTAAATTCATACAGTCTCGGTACCATACAAATTTCATCAGAATAATTACCATGAAAGTATTCACAGAAAAGGCAGAGATGAGCTACGTTACGGTGGTAGGAAAATGACGGAAGTCGAAATGCCAGATCAGGACTAATAACATTGCAGATTCTTCTTTGGATCTTATCAAAATCTCTAAATATATAGTAGAAGCACCAGACCAGATGTGGCAGCAATATTCAAAGCAGGGACGAATGGTAGACTTATAAATATGTAAAATAGATTCTGGCGAGACAAATTGTCAAGCCCGACGCACTGAACAAACTTTTCTGGTTGCAGACTTAGAAATTGATTCAATACAATCTTTCCACATCATGTCAGCGAAAAACATTAGCCCGAGAAGATGCAATGAATTATTCTCTTGAAGGTTTGTATCAGCCATGCTGATGTAAAGTAAAAATGGTTTTCTCATATGATTAAAAGCATTTATGTTGGTCACAAAACTAGTGTTGCAACTCACGGTCTACCCATAAAAATCAATTTTCCATTGGCAATAGATTTGAAAGCAGATGTGTTAATGTTTGGAGTATTTATTTCGATTATTTATTTGTACGTGTATTTGATATGCCAGCTCTTAGATAAAATGTTTAACAGCTTGTTGCAGTGTTTATTTGGTGGTTTTAAGCAGAGTCTATGGAATTTACAATATAATGCGTTCCAACATTAAGGAAATTGCATTTCTGAAATGATCCTCTGGTTGACTGCATATATCGTCACGGATGTTTAATAAAAGTTTGGCAGCATTGGTCTGCGCAACTGTCTACAATGTCAAGTGGTTCTGTGCAGTATTAAACAACTAGCAGTTATTTGCATAATATCGCTTCTTTTCCACCATGTTCCCAATTCTATGCAACGCGTATGCCGTCAAGTAATGTTGAGCAACGGCGTGAAGGCAAAAATTGTTTAAATGCTTTATGAAGGTAAAACAGCATTTACAAGAAGCCAGCATACGATGAAGAAATTCATCTGAAAGCCGGTTGCATGCAGGGCATGTACAAAACAAGGAGGGGAGATATGTAAATGGTTGTCTTTTAGTCGATGAATGGATACCTGTTTGAAGATAGAGATTCATACGCACGCATCTTTAAACGCTTAGGAACGTGCAACAAACCCGTTATCCGCCAGCCTTGAAGCCATATCACGTAGCTAAATGTGTTTCCTGAAACAAAAAAGGATTCAAAATCGGATTTTCGGTGTGTGTTAATCACGGACGAGGGTAGCGTGATGCTGAATGGTTCCAAAATCTTACAAACAGGACGGTGCCAGAAGAACTACCCTAAGCCTCTTCGACTGAATTGTCAAGGAATCTGAGACCTTTTGAAAGGAATTATTGCCTTGAAGAGTTAGAAATGACACCAAAATAAACGCTTCTGCCTACGTTTAATTTCTAAAGATTAACCTTCAGCCATGACTCACGAAAAAAGACACTGGCGTTCAAACGAAAGTCGTATTTATGCACAACAATGTCCCAGTTCAGTTCTGCTATGACACCTTTTGAATATTTAGAGAAACTGGTGTCCAATAACCGACAAATGAAGTGTTTACCGTACCTTAATCTTACCGAAAATCTCTGTAGCATTATCAAGAGACGCTTTTACGATGGCAGAAATTAATTTTCATCCAAGGGTGAACTTTGTGCAACAATATCAACTGTTTGTGAAGCCGTCACACCTGAAGAATTTCTGATTTTAATATCTATGGACACTATATCTATGGACTGCGTGAAGTCACCGGGAAATATTAAAATTATATCAGCAAATAATATTACATTTCTACTGTGTTAGTTGACCAAGCTTATTGTTGTGGATTCCGGGATGAAATCCGGTACCAATAAATAACAAACGCCAGGAATGAATATATGAAAATAATGTATTAACGTAATAATACAAACTGGTAATGCAGGTTAGTAGTTCCAGGAATACGGGTTAGTAGCAAAATATATATATACAGTCTTTGGTATTGAAGTATCGCTGTATGACTTCTTACTGAGTTTACGTGCTCGCTCACGGTGACTCTTGCTGGCTACGTTCGTTCTGTCTGTCTGTTACCTTCACCTTCTGTTGCTCTCGTCTCTCGGGTCTTCACGTAGCAGTAGTATATGTATATACTGGGTGAATCCATTTGTGTAAAAAGGGAAGAGCCCCTAAACACTTATAATGCTTTCCATCGTTTGACAGTCGTTTAAATAAATCATTTTTGTGTTTCATCATTGTCGTTGTTTTATCTTCCACCTTTCATTGCAAATTGATTCATTGGACACGTCTGTATATGAATTCAAACGGTTTAAATAGTTCGGTTTTAAATATTCAAGCATATATTAAATTATATATTTGTATTCGATCGTAGATTTCATTCATGCATGTTTCATTAAATAATATAGACAAGTTTATTTTAAGTAAGTTCCTTTCATATTGTCTGATAAGCTTAATCATATTATCATTGAAAGACGAAATGTATAAACCAATGGCTTCCGTTATAAATTATAGGCATTTAAGAATATTTGTGGAGATTTCATAGTTTATTTTGTTCAAGAATTTTTAATTTTTGTTCATTGTTTTCATGATTAAGTATAGTTGTATTATCAACAAGGATCGTAGATTTTATGATATTCCGTATTAAAGTATGTCTAATCTTTGGGTGAATCTATTTGAACGGCATTAGATGACTGTAGGACCAATACTTTCACAACTGTTATCGTATTATTAATTTACATATAATGATAATGTTAGGACGCAATGTATGTATCTTTGTAACTTGGAAATACAATATTCGTATATATATATATATATATATATATATATATATATAAAAATTACTTAACTATATGTATAAAAATAATATCAATTAACCATTTTCTAATATTGAACACTATATGAAATTATCTGCTTCACTTTTAAATCTTCAAATTTTTGATATATATATATATATATATATATATATATATATATATATAGTGAACATTGAAGTCAACCCTCAGAGGCGACAGGCTGTTTCATGCTAGGCGCAATCGTCAGGCCGCCTGACGTCCAGCATGAAACAACCTGTCTCTTCCTGAGTTGACTCAATATTCACTGTGTGTGTGTGTGTGTGTGTGTGTGTGTGTGTGTGTGTGTGTGTGTGAAATGGATTAAATTCGACATATTTTTAATGGATACTCTTATTTGAGTAGAAAAAGATGCGCCGTCGGGCAGGATTCGAACCTGTGTCAGATCCAGTGATGGTTTTCCCAAGGGGATCCCGGACGGTGAATATTTTTCTATCAAGATTTCTCGAATATTCAAGCCGGTAGATGTTAATAGATATACTGTTCAATAAATAAATAAAAATATCAAATATGAGTATCCATTAAAAATAACATTTAAACAAATAATTTTTTTATTTATTTATTTTTATATATATATATATATATATATATATATATATATGTGTGTTTTTATATATATATATATATATATATATATATATATATATATATATTTGTGTGTGTGTATGTATGTATGTATGTATATTGTGTATTTCCAGTAGCAGCAGTCCTTCAATAATAATAATATTAATTACGAACTTAATAATATTAACTAGGAAATTTCTCGGACATTCGGGCCAGTACAAGCATTAACTACGAACACGGCCACAATGTACTACTGTGTTCGGTAAATAAAACATCTCTATAACACTAAAGACATACACACAAGTTTGCTTTTATATCTATGTCAAATCATATATTTTGTAGATATTTTTATGATTATTTTTCTGCTTTTGTATGTTTTTGTCTGCTACTGTTTCGCAAATTTATAAGACTGTCGTCCCTGTAGAAGCCTATACAATTTTGTCGATTATTTATGTTACATTCTACTTTGTACTCTTAGAGGGGTTGTTAATAACTAAAGAGTTTACTTATTAACCGGAACATTTACCAATCAAAGTACTAAATTAAGTAACCAATAAGAATCAACGTCGTCATCTTAAAGTTTTCAGCTCTTAATCTTTTATTGTTTACATTTCGGAGCTGCCAAAATTTTATCTGTCATCGGAAAATTCAGACAAAAAGAGACGAAAACATAAGACAGTTATCTGGATGTGACTAACTGGGTGAAAGAATAATTGGGTAAAGACTCAAACCAGGGAGAGAGGGGGGTGTCGTGAGAAGAAAACTGAGGGGCAAATTCAGGCGTGGCGATTGGAAGAAGAGGGGTAGACATTTAAGAAGAAAGCCTTGCTATCTCAGTGTGTCAACGAATTCTGCATAACACTTGTTCAAGATATATACGAACACTTAAAATGGAGGAACTTTGTCCCACATGTATACATACACACCAGCATTCGAAAAAGCATGCAATCTCTGAAATTCATATACACACATAGATAGATAGATAGATAGATAGATAGATAGACTGTAGTCTGAGAGAAATATTAAGGTAAAGAGAGAGAGAGAGACTGTAATCTGAGATAGATAGATAGATAGATAGATAGATAGATAGATAGATAGATAGATAGATAGATAGATTATAGTCTGAGAGAGATATGAAGATAGAGAGAGAGACTGTAATCTGAGATAGGTAGATAGATTTTAACAGAATGAGATGTTTAAATGGCTGATCTTCCGACTTCAAGTTTCGCAGATATAGCGTTCCACTGGTTCGGCTAAGATAAATACATCGATTTCATTAAGAGATATCACATATATTTACAATTTAAACAAAGCCAAGAATGGACGCCAACTGCGTACTCAGGCAACAATCTTTCATTGATATATGTTTGATTAAAGAGCACATGCTTTTTATTTTTATTTTTTATTTCATGCTTAATCTTTCCTCTTTCATTAGGAGTAAGCGAGAATCATTTGTCAGTTGATGACCAGAATTTGAATCCAGTGCTTTCGTCTTAACAGTTTTAACGGTGGGTGATAAAATCTGCCTCTTGAGTCATTTTTCAGCGGGTAAATTTTTATATTAATATGCGTAAAGGTGCCAAAAGCTCATTCGATATTGCCACGCCCCTCGATGTTTACGAACGGACGTAGAATAACGGTCGAAATTGTCGCAATAAAAATCAACCATGGATTTATATTCATTTTTTTAGTCAGAATCCCAAGGCGCAAAAGATGAATTGGAAATGTCATAATCAAAGAATTATAGAAGATTAAATATCTGAGAAATGTTTTAACACAGGATGGAAAATATGACACCGAAATCCGAAGACGCTTTAGAATAGCAAAAGGTACCTTCCAAAAACTATGCAAAAGGTACCTTCTAAAAACTAAGTAAAAGGTACCTTCCAAAAACTAAACAAAAGATACCTTCATAAAACTAAGCAAAAGGTACCTTCCAAAAACTAAGTAAAAGGTACCTTCCAAAAACTAAACAAAAGCCCCTTCGTAAAGCTAAGTAAAAGGTACCTTCCAAAAACTAAACAAAAGGTACCTTCCAAAAACTAATCGAAAGTACCTTTCAAAAACTAAGCAAATTAATAGAACCAAGAGAATTTCGTAAAAAAACAAAAACAAATAAATGATTGAAGAACTGCTATGTAATACGAAATCCTCCTATATGGCATTGAATGCGAAACCATTTCCACAGAGGAAGAGACTTGAGGCGACAGAAATGTCCTTCTACAGAAGGATGCTGAAAATACCTACGGACAGAGCATGTAAGCAACAACAAAGTTTTACTCAAAATAGAAACAAAAAGGACACTTAAAATCAGAAAGAGATATTTGAAATTTCTGGGACATAATGAGGAAGAGAGGCGTGACAAATCTGACACACACATGACGCATATCTTAGACAAAATAGGCAGTGGGAGGCGGCCTATATGATGAGCTTCTGTGAATGTACGGAAGAACAGTGAGTAGGAGGGATAGTAAAAAATAAACCTTACGAAGAACTACAACGGACAGGAAGTTGTTGTCCTCCCTCTAAAGAGTCTATATTGGACTCTTCCGCCTACTATAAGATTAGTAGGAGAGAAGGTCTTGGGAGAACAGTGATGTTTTTGGACTGAAGAGTTCTGTTAATGATTGAACCGCCTCTTTAATTTTCAAGTCTCTGGTTTTCTTAGGCAAAATATAGTTAACAAGCTTAGTATATTCTGCTATGCCTAATTCCCTGAGGAGTAGACAAACCTTTTTATGGTCAGCCCAACTTGCACAATCCGTATTGTATAAGTCCTCGTCTCCAAGATGTTGTGACCAAGTAAATTATTAAAGAAATAACAAAACAAATGTTACAGATATATCATATATTAAACAGTAAGTACAACAGTAGAGTATTACACAACTAGTGAGTGTGTGTCGGTTGATCCAGTGTTCAAGCTATTCAACTGTTCCCCAAGGCCTTCTCTCCTACTAATTTTATAGTAGGCAGAAGAGTCCAACATAGACTCTTTTGAGGGAGGACACCATAACAGAAGTTGAAGAGAGACAGGAACGCTCACGTCCTGAAGGGATACAGCACTAAGGAGAAGATTGGTTCTGTACCCAAATTCACCCAGGTTAGGCTGAACCGCCTTGTTCAAATGGCGGTATAACCATGGCAGAGTTTCATGCCTATCAATCTACGGCTTCTGATCAGCCGGTGACGTTTGGCTTAATTCCAACTTACTGTAGAAAACTGTAACACGTGGTTCCCAACGAGGAGCGCGCGCCTCACGGTGGGGGCTTGATTTTTAGTTGTGGGGGCAATACGAGAATGAGGTATTAAGAGTGAATTTTTTCTCATGAGACAATCCACCGATATTTCAATATTCTCTCTCTCTCTCTCTCTCTCTCTCTCTCTCTCTCTCTCTCTCTCTCTCTTTTATTATTATTATTGTTGTTGTTGTTTTATTTCCTTTTCCATTTCTCCCAACACTAGAGACCTATGGTCAGAAATGGCATCATTACATTTTCCACTGAGCAGTTTTAAAAAAATCTGATATCATTATTATTATTATTATTATTATTATTATTATTTTAATATCACTTCATATTTTTAACAATTTCTTTGTAATTTCTTCCACAATACTTCAGCTGTTCTTTCATTCTTTTATTTTTTTTTTTCCTCTTTTATGGATGCCATGTTCTTTGGAAGATTGTTTAGTCCAAGTTAATGGCTTCCTCCGTCTGAATAGGAGTTCATTTTTTGAATAATAAATATTAGATGTCACATGGGTGGGCATACAGATGCTTAGGTGGGGCATTACCAAAAATAAAGTTGGGAATCACTGCTGTAGACACAGAGGTCAGGAACCACTGGGTTTACTAGAGCCCCGCTATTAAGCGGAATACTGGCTTTCACAGATAGTGTCGACTGTCAAAGACTGACTACATAGTTCAAACACTATTATGGAATCATGCTGAAAGACAGGCGAGACAAAATGAATATTAACTTTAAACGGAAAATATTATCAACAAAAAGAAAGCGGCTGTTGTTTTCAAGGTTCTTTGCTCAAGATAGTTACCCTTTACCCAACACAATAAAGCCGGAAAGATAACACGGAAACCCAGTAAGATAAGCGGCTACCAACAAGAAAAAAGGACCCCTTCTTTCGTTCTTTTTGACAAATTGAGAGTGCGTACATAGCATCACCCATACCCATAACTTCTACAGGCTTTTTTTTCTTTTCTTTTTTTTTTTTTCTTCACCCATCACACAAATGTGGATCTTTTATTTATTTTTCTATCAGTGGAATTCTCCTTCTCATTGTTTTAAAAATAAGAAGCGCTAAAGTATATGAAAAAAAAAAGAAGAAAGAAATGGCGGTAAGGACGTGGGTGGAGGATGGTTAGTCCGGTGTCAAATTTATGTAGGCAAAAATAAAAGTAAGAGAAAAAAACTTGATTCAAATCAAATTCAACAGAAGATGGTAATCACGCTAAAATAATTACAAAGTTTAATCTGGCACAAGATCTTGATAAAGGTGGGCGCTTAACACCCACACTTCTTACAGTAGCGAAATAATCTACAAATAACTGTTAACCGATGCGCTACAGTAGGCATCTAAAATATATTTAATAGGCTCAGTTGTGTTTCGCAAAAGTTTACTAAGATGCTTGAAATGATTCTACTAGTGAATATCGCGTTGTATGAAGTCTTTGCATTTTCGTAGTCTATCGGCAATTCTTCAGTAGAGACCCCAACGCTGCATCAACAGATTCAATCAAAGATAGACAATTTTCTTCAGGTTTCTTTTGAATCGTTTTATTTCGGGTGGAGGGGATATAGTGGACATTTTTGGAGGAAGAGAGAGATAGGAAGAACAGATATTTAAATACAATGTTAATCTTATCTACTTTCTTCTTCATTCCACTTCTTTTATTCTTCTCGCTCATTAATGTTTTTATTCTTTCACTCCTTGTAACCCATTGTCTTTAGTGGCTTTATTGACTTGTGTGGGATGTAATCATCAATATATATATATATATATATATATATATATATATATATATATATATATATGTGTGTGTGTGTGTGTGTGTGTGTGTGTGTGTGTGTGTGTGTGTGTGTGTGTAAATAACTCCCGACTATGACCCATTTCTAAGAATTTTTTAATTTTTAATTTTTTCTACTTCGCTTAGATTGAATTGAACGTGGGTAATATTCGATTGGTTGAGCAGAGTAAAGCAAACAAGCATTATATTTTTTTTGAAAAGAGAGGGTGTATTTTGCTCTTGAAACCAAATTAATCATTCATCCGCGAATAATTTACAATCGCCTGAAGAGATGCAATGGTATGCATTGAAACACGACTGCAATTGTGTAGCGATTTTTACATGTTGTTTGTCCTAAAATAAACAAAAATTATATATATATATATATATATATATATATATGTTTCAGTTGAAAATATGGTTTCAGTTCGACCGACTGAATGATTAAATAAGGGAGAAGTAGGAAAATCTTCATGAATTTTTCAGTATTTATTTGACTACTTCAGAAAGTTTGGAAGTAGAATAATGTAAAGTTGTTCTAATTTTTTTTTTTAACGTTTGGTTGTTTTATTTTCAATGGTTATGTAGGTGTCACGTGTTCAATGACTTTAAGAAGTAGGGCACATGTATCCATTTGTTGTGTGAGCGTCAATGTGCTTACCGCATAGTGTCTGAATGCCGGTTTAATTTTTGAAATGTAAGCGTAATTTAAGAGTGTATTAAAAATAAGTTATCTTAGTGTATTTTAATTCCATCATAGGCTGGACGAATTTTGAAAAGGAATGAGACGTCTACTCAACCAATAAAAACAAACCAAAGAATTTTAAAAATCGAAATATTTTCCCGTCCCAAAATTTCTGATGAAACTAAATATAAATAACGAAACATTCAATTTATAAAGGTTTTCCTAAATTATCATTATTTAATCACACACACACATATATATTTATTAAAGACATTTTTATGTTGTTTTTTATTTAATAAGTATTTAAGTAAATGCTCTGTTTATGATAAACAGTATTAAATAACATTTACCGGACTGAATGTCCGAGAAATTTTCATAGAAAATATTCGTCCTTTGACAGGATTCGAACCTGCATCCTATACGGAACCGTCATTTACGCTGACTTGCCTTATCCGA